GACAAGGAACTCAGAAACTTAATAACAATAATTGAACAATGAGATTAAAAATGGGACTCTGTGAAAGGCTTGATTTCTCTGTCTCCTGTCAGCTGGGCATGGCTGGGACACACATTCCCCCACCACACACGTGTTCCTCCCACAGAACAATTATATAGTGTGGAAGTGTGACAGACATCACCAAAGAGACAGGGTGGGAGGCAGACAGAACCAGAGCTCAATGGCATTGCTGGGTTACTCTCCCAGGCCTGAACAGGCCACACTTGGACTTCTTGTTACCTCTGCAGGCTACAGTAAAGGCATTTTTAGAAGTCTTCAAATTCAACATAATTCTAATCCTATAAAATATTTGCAAGAAGCCAACCAAATCCCAACCCTAGGAGGTCAGTCCCCCCAAAGAGCCAGGAGAAAATTCATGGAATGAAAAGTTACGAGATGATCGGTGAGATAATAGAGCATGATATTTAAAAAAAAAAATAGATCTGCAAATGAGAGAAAAATCAAGATGGGGAGCTCAGCAGTTCAGAGCACTTACTGCTCTTACAGAGGACCAAGGTTCAGTTTCCAGCACCTGCATGCCAGCTCACAACCACCTGAAATTCCAGTTTGAAGGAACTGATGCGTCTTCTGGCTTCTGTGGGCTACTGCAGAGATGCGGTGCACATAAATGAATACGGACCATACACACGCACATAAATAAAAACAAACCTTTTAAATTGAGGTCGGACTCACTTCTATGGGTTTACAGACTTCCATAGAAATCAGATATTCAAATGAGAATGTCTTAGAACAGCATTTATGAGCCATTAAGCCCAGGGGATCCTGGAGAGCTCTACTGAAACTGGCCTGCAAGAGCAGGGCTGGGGTGGACTCACTCGGGTTGTGTTTCTAAATGTAGGTGGTGCTGGATACAAAACATTGTGACCTAATCCTCAGTGTCATGGTATTTGAAAAGATGATTAGGTCCTGAGGGTTGAACCCTCATGAATCTAAACTCCAAGCGGTATCTTCTGCTCCCTCCCTCCCTCCCTCCCTCCCTTTATCTTTCCTCCTTTCCTCTCATCCCCCTTCCCTCTGACATTCCCTCACTCACCAAACCTACTAGAAGCAAGTACCAGGCAAGAGGTTTTGATTGACCTTGACTGAATCAAGTTTCCATCCAGGAAGTTACCTTACACTCACTCACCATGGCGGGGCTGGAGAAGACGGTGGGGCTGCACAGTATCACACCAGCCAGGCTCATTGCTTTTCCCAAAGGAACAACAAGAATTGGTTGGAGGGAAAACTAACAACCACTATGCAGCAGCGTACAGAGGGGGGAAAAAGTCAACCTAAACACAGACATTTCCCCCACTATACACATTTTTAAGTGAAAGTAGATCTAGAACTAGGTGAATAAGTAAGAGTAAGTAAGAGAAAGAGAAGGTGAGATTATGGTATAAAAAGAGTTATCAAACTGTAAGGCTCAAGAGTTGATACATCCAGTGTGATGTTAAGACAAGCTGTGGTTCTGAAAGCAAGTGGCGTAGAGTCACTAATTTGACATGTCATGGTTGCTACGGCTTGAGTCTGGAGTGACCACAGGTTCAAGGGTTTGAAGTCTAGGCTCCCAACTGGTAGAACTGCTTTATTTGAGAGCTCACGATGAAACCTTTAGAAGGTAGAATTTAGCTGAAAGAAGTGGGTCATGTCACTAGGGGGTGTCTTATTCTTAACTCGCTGACCTGCTCTCTGGTTCGTAATCTGGCCACTGTGTGAGGCGCTTCACTGCAGTCTGGCACCACCCAGAGCAGAGCTGTTTCTACCCCTGTGTCTTGCATGCCCTGATGGGTGGAAATTCTCTGAGGCCATGAGCCAAAATAAGGTTTTCCCCTTTTAACTAATTTCTTTGGTTATTTTGTCACAGCAATGGAAAAAAAAATAAACGACTAATGCAATAGTCTTTGGATAGCATCTTGCGGGCAGAGCATTCACTCAGGAACACAGAGTCTGAATAGGAAGACTGTAGGGCACCACGCCCGTCTGAGCTCTATGCGCCACCATACAATTCGTGAACCGGGCAAGGGGCTGGAGATTGAAACACACAAAGACACAGATACAGAGACACAGGTCATCCTTGATGCCAGAATGCCCCCAAGAATGCCCCCTTTATTGTGTCCAGGGGCAGCTTATATAGGGATAGCCATGCCCCAGCCAAATGCACCAGAAACCATTCTCTTGCATCAGGAACTCCTTAGGGTCTTGTGCTCAGAGCAGCTGTAGGCACTCAGATCGGGGAAAACAAGTTGTTTACAAGAAATTCAGGATCTGGGGGGTTCACTGCTCCCAACAGAAGATAACGGAACCAAGCACCAATAGTCTCCATGGATACGATCGTAGGACCATCAGTCATGGATGAGCTGGACTTGGAGATAATTCAGCTGAAAAGAGCATCTTCACAAAAGGGAAATTGTCCCGTGGGACTGGAAGACAAACAGGTTATAAATATGATAATATCAAGAGGGAAATTAATTCGCTGATACCTGAGAGCTGAGTGAATGAGCAGCCGAGGCCATGCGGGAGAGGGGAGGGAAGGCTATGTTGGCAGAGGTGTCAGAGACCGTAGAGACAGAGGTGGGTCCACCACTGGTCGTACCAACACAATAAAGGCAAGAAGTGGGAGACTAAAGATGACCCAGTCTGTTTACTGTGAAATGGCCATTCCAGAAGGCAGATAAGAACTGTCTGGAAATGGGAGACAGTGCATATTTTGCTGTAAGAAAAGGCCTGCAAGTATCGGAGGGATTGGGGGAATAAGAACAGCGTACTCTCTCTTTTTCTCTTTCCTTGCATTAACAACTGAAGACCACTTTCGGCCCCGAGTCACTGTTGGATGAGTCTGCCCTGTCCACTGTGTCTGCCAGACAGGGATACTGAAGAAGAGGTAAAAGAGAGGACTTTTCTTACAATAGAACCACCCTCCATCCCAGCACAACCTTCCTTCCACTCATTGATTCACTTGTCAACCCACAACCTTTCCAATCTTTCTTAGGACCTAGAACATAAGTTATGGCCCATCCTTGGACTAGATCGTAGGAACAAGAAGCAAAAGAAAGACATTTGGACATTTCATTCAATCATCAGTTTCTTAGTCTATAAAACTAAAACAAGTTTTAATAGACTAAATGAACAGCACCAATTGCTTTGTCACTTACACGCTATCATGTTGTTGTTACTATTGTTGTTGATTTGAGACAGGGTTTCTCTGTGTAGCACTTAGTGTCCTAGAACTCACTCTGTGGATCAAGCTGGCTTTGAACTCACAAAGGTCAGCCCACCTCTGCCGCCTGAGTGCTGGGGTCAAAGTTGTGTGCCATCACCCTCTGGCTTGTTTTTTAAACTCTTTAAATGTGTGAGTGAAACATGGTGGAGGGGTAGCCCTCCCTAGGAAGGGGAAATAGAATAGATAGTTAGAGATGGACAAGAGATGATGAATAAATCGAACAGAAGGATCAATGTGAAGGAAAAGGAAGAAAGGGAGGCAATACAGAGAGAGATAGTTAAACTAAGGGCTATTTGGGAGTCATACAGAAACCTAATAGACACTTCTTAGAATGTATACATATATGAAAAAAACCAAATGGAGTCACCAAATAATGAGGGAAACAAAGCCCCAACTAGACATCTGCCACCATCAATGGAACATCCATTCCCAGGAAGGGGCTACATCTAACCAAGTTGTTGGCCAAACCCCAAAACTACTTGGGCTATTGCCAAAGCTATGGGTTGTTCTCCACAAAGTGGTGGTGGTAAGACCCACAAGACAATACCCACATAACTCACTGAATACAGAGAAGTTGAGCTGGTGCCTGCTTAGAGCCTTCATCCCTACTGACTAGTGTCCATGGTACTGTGCTGTGGGAGTTCCTTCAGCTCCTTCAGCCAATCGCCGCTGAGTTACCAGCCCATTGGGGCGTGGTCTCTCCCTTTAAAAAAAGCAGCGGCTGTCCTCCACTCTCTTTTTGTCTTCCGGCTCCGTTTCCGGCCCCTGGACTCCTTTCCTGTTCGCGCGGAGGGGCTGTTGTCTGGGACGGTAATCTGTAAGTTTTTTCCCCTTTGAATAAATAACCATTATATTAATCATAATTCCAAACTGGTGTGGGATTGTCTGTGACTTACGCCTTCAGTACTGGAAGGTACTCTCCACACTTGTGGAAGAGAAAAGTAAACAACAACCCAGCTACAAACCCTTCTGTTGGAGGGAGAAAGCTGCTTGTTAGTCCCAGTGGCCCAGAACTGATATAATCACACAGAAACTATATTAATTAAAACACTGCTTAACCCATTAGCTCTAACTTCTTTTTGGCTAACTCTTACATCTTAGTTTAACCCATTTCTATTAATCTGTGTATTACCATGTGGCAGTGGCTTACTGGCTAAGTTTCAGCAGCATGTCTTACTCTGGCAGAGGATCCATGGCATCTCTCTGACTCTGCTTTCTTCCTTCCAGAACTCTGTTCTGTCTTCCCGCCTACCTAAGTTCTATCCTATCAACAGACCAGGGCAGTTTCTTTATTTATTAACCAATGAAAGCTGCACATAGACAGAAGGACCTCCCATACCACCCTTCAATCAACGAATGAGACCTGCATGCAAGATACACTGGTAGAATAGTGGCACAAAGGTTGTGGGAGTAACCAACCACTATCTGATTGGAATTAAGGCCACTCCATGAGTTGGATCCATGCCAACACTACCTGCATGGCCAAGAGCAGGAGACTAGATAGGCCACAGACCTAGGAGAAAACTACATACTGCTGCTCTGCAAAAGGAACATAGCAATAAAATTACTCCTAACAGCATTCTGCTATACTCACCGAGCAGTGTCTTATTTGGCCATCATCAGAGAAGCATCCTCCTACAGTAGCTGGGAACAAATACAGAGACCCACAACTGGACAGTGTGCAGAGAGTGAGAGACTGAAGAAGGATGCTTAAAAGAAATCCCACGCTAGCTCAGAATTGAGTACAATAGAGGGTTATTTATTTAGGGGTAGACTCACAGGTCATAGTCCTCTGCTGGAACTGGGAACAGTAACCGAATCCCATAGCTGGAAGAGGCTGGGCGCACACTCTACATGGGCATAAATAGTATAAGAGGCCACGCCCAAGTGGGCAGGTAATTTAAAGGTGGTAACTTAAACTGGTGGTAGGAATTTCTATAGCAAGAGACTTTAGAACACTCTGTCCTCAACAGGATGTCTCCATCAAATTCCTCGGCTCAAGGCTCAGGAAACCCTGTGGAAGAGAAGAGAGATGGTCAGAGCCAGAGGAGATGTAGGACACCAAGGAAACAGGGCTCTCTAAATCAACAAGCCTGATGTGCATATGAACTCACAGAGACTGTGGCAGCATGCACAGGGCCTGCTTAGGTCTAACTAGATAGGGTCCCAGTGTTGAGAGTGGAAGAGACGTACGCCACATCCCTACTCAGAAACTGCTCATAAAGGAGAAGTTAGCTTTCTCCAACCACATCTCACTGGGTATACAAGCTGCATCATACCCAGTAATAAATCACAAACACAAAATGAACTCCATGGTATTTTTTTTGAAGAGTTTTTGTCTCAAAATGTTTGGTTCGGGCATTTTTTTAACTTACAGATCTTTTGCTTACATATTATGATTTCCAGTGTTGTCTTTATGGGTCTTCTGTGTGTGCAAATGTGTGTGTGTGTCAGCCTCTTCTTTAGTTCAATTTTGTTGTTTATTTTTGTTTTGTCCTAGTCTGGTTTATTTTTATTTTATCTTATTTTATTATTTCTCTCTTTTTTAGATGCCTGTTTGTTTTCTAATAAGACAGGAAAGCAGGAATGCAACTTTTGGCAGGAGGGAAAGTGAGAAGAATCTAGAAGGAGTTGAGGAAGGGAGACTGTAATCAGAATATGACCTAGAAAGAAAATTGATTTTCAACTTAAAAAAAAATTAAATGCATTTTCTTGTAGCTCAAAAGTTAGAGAACTTGCCACTGAAACCTGGCCAGGGACTGTGTAGAGCAGAATCTACCGTGGAAGGGCAGGGGAGAACACGTGTGACAGAAGAGGGCTTGCGTTTTGGAGGGTGGGCAGGGTTGCCAAGAATGAAAGGCCTGTTCGGAGTTAGAAGCCGGCTTTCAGTGTGCTTCTGGGCAGGCTGACAGCACTGCCTGCTGAGGTCAGCACATTTGTCTCCCTTGCCCTCCTCCAGATGTTACCTGCAGTAAACGTTTATTAGCTCAGGAGACAGAGCCCGCGAGCACCAAGAGCAGCGACACAGAGGGCTGTTGTTCTCATGTCCTGATCCGGAGGTCATTATTTCGTCTTAGACCAGGGAGCCAGGCCTGCTCTCAGCCTTGGCGGTTTTCCTCACTCCTGCCAATCATGTTTTTCATCTTGCAAGAGGAAGCCTTTTGAGAAGCCGTGTTGATCTCTTCTTTGCTCCCATAGTGATAAAGCAAACAATCGCCAGGATCTGGCCAGAACTTCCCCAAACAGCCCCAGTTCTCACAGTCCTGAGACTTCATCATGCCAGAGCTTTCCTGTTCAAGAATGAATTCATTTTTCATTCATAGAGTTCATTCAGAGTTGAGATGTCTGACAATTTACCTTGTTTTGCTGCGGGGACTCACATACCACACTATTGAACTTTCTAGCGAAATAACGCCATTTCAAAGTAGATCATGTTTTGTTCTATTACACGTGGCCTTGATGTGGAAATCCAAAGAGTCATAAACACCAAACACTTATCATCAAGCGTAAAATAAATAACATCTAGAGGGTAATTGTCACATCCGTGGTGTTGTCAAGGAGGTGCGGAATTCAGAACCCTCACAAGTGACTGGTAGCAACATAAAGAGATACGGCCCCTTTTGAACATAGTTAGGTCATGTTTCAACATGGAATTTAAACACAGGATACTGCATGGCTCAGCAATTCCACTTCTAGGAGCACATTCAAGAGAAATTTGAACACATTTCCAATGCCCATAGCTACATGGGAGTGAAAGATGAAAGTACTCCAACTAGATGTTGTTGTGATCATTATGTTTTTGTTTCTGTGACAAATTACCCAAGAAAGTCATCTAAAAAGGAGATAAAATTTATTTTGCCTTAACAGCTTCAACCTGTGATCCCCTGGGTCTCCTGAGATAATGGTGAACATCGTGGTGATCCACTGGGTCTCCTGAGGTAATGATGAACATCTAGGTGATCCACTGCATCTCCTGAGATAATGGTGAACATCATGGATCCCCTGGGTCTCCTGACATAATTGTGAACATCGTGGATCCCCTGGGTCTCCAGAGATAATGGTGAACATTGTGGTGATCCACTGGGTCTCCTGAGATAATGGTGAGCATCATAGTGGTGAGAGCATACGAAGGAGTCTAGGAAGCAAAGGGAAAAATAAAGACACATCCCTATCTCTTCCAAATCTCCCCCAACTCTGAAAACTTCAACCACATCTCAATAATGGCACCAAATAATAGATTATGAGATTCATTCATTGATTAGGTCAGTGTCCTTGAGATCTAGGCACCTCCCAGTGTTTGATTGGATCCACCAGGTGGAGACAAATTCAATGCATGAAACTTCTGAAAGATACTTGATATTCAAACCATCAGCAGATAAAATATATATAAAATGAAAAATACCTATATAATGAATCTCCATCTGGCAGTAAACAGTCATTGAGCATTGAGACCTGATACAATATACATAGAATATCTCAAAAATATTGCAAATTAATTTTATATTGCAAATTAATCGCATAATATATATTTATATATATCTATATACACATTTATCATAGGACTAACATATGATAGGTACCTAATGTTTGTTACATGAAGAAATAGAAATGAAGCAAATTGATGGACTTAACTAAGAACAGTTATAAAGTATCCTTTATACATCAATAAAATATCAGTATTTCTACTATTAGTTGTAAATCAATTACAACTTAGCTGAAGCAGGAAAAAATTATTTTTGCCCAAGCAGTATCAATACTTCTAAGACATAACCAACACCAACCATTCAAACAAAAAGCTCTGGGGTTATTTTAATGCTCATCTATCTCAGCCACTAAGAAGGAATATTCCGTATAAGCTGTATCTACTCTGGGGCTAGCAAGACAGCTCAGGAGGTTATATACTTACTTCTATTTGAGTCCTAGAGCCTATATGGCAGAAGGAGAAAATGGACTCTCCCAGGTTGTCCTCTAAGCTATGTGTGTCAGTTCCCATATGTATACACATGCTCACATAATTAATTAACTAAGAATTTCTACAGACACACCCATTCTGGGGCTGGGGAGAGGACTCAACTGGCAAAGCCAGCTGTGCGTGCTTGAGGACCTGAGTTTATATCTGTAGCACCCTTGTAAAATTTGGACACGAGCAGCACACAACTGTACCTCCAGAACCGCCACGGGTAGAGATAGCCAATCTTTGCTTGCCAACCAGTCTAGCCAGAACGGTGATCCTCAAGTTCAGTGAGAGACTGGACAAAGAAGACAAAGAGTGATTATGAAAGACACCTGATGTCAACTTTGGCTTCCCGTCTTGTGTGCACATATATGATTGACAGTCACACATGCACACACAAAAACACATACACACCTATCACACACATGCACACACAAAAATACTTATATACCCATCACACACATGCACACACAAGCATGCGCACATGCACACACAAATATATATATATATATATACATGTATACATATATACATGTATATATATACATTCTGATGATGTGGAAAGTTAGACTCACCAACCTCCGTGGTCAGAACTCTGAGTCACTTCACAAACATTCATTCAGATCTGTGTGACCCTCATTTTTTCTAAGTTAATTGCCCTCGGCTGGTATCAGAATCAGGGTTAGATTCAAAGGTTGGCAGAAAAATTCTAAATCTACACTCATGCTTCCTTTTCGCTTCTATGACCAATCCTGAGTGTGCACCTTGATCCAAAATAGGGCCCTGTTCCTCAGAATTCAGCTCCTGACCTTATATACAACTGCCAAGAGAAAGGACCCTGTTCCTCAGAATTCAGCTCCTGACCTTATATACAAGTGCCAAGAGAAAGATACGCTGCAGTGGAAGAAGACTCCAAGCCTTGCACATCAAGCCCGATCCTAGGAAGCTGCTCAGTGTCCACTCTAACCTATCAGAGGGCATGAAGTCAGCAGGTGATTTGGTACCTTCAATAAAGAGATTAGAGAAATAGGAAACAGAGAAACCGCAGTATCTCAGAAAACCACAAATCTTAACCCATCATAGAAACCCAGCTTTATCTTGTATTTTGAACATTTATTGATTTGTTTCTTAGATAAAATTTCACTACATAACACAGGCTAGCCTGAAACTTGTTGTGTTGCCCAGAGTGGCCTAGAACTTGTGATCTTCTTGCCTCAGCCTCAGAAATCCCAGGCTTAGAGTAAAATGAGAAGTGTGTCAGTCCGAGGAGAAGCCGTGTACCCCTCTGACTCCTCGAGAGTCAGCTTGAAAGCAGATAGAAAGTTCAACAGAAGCTTTCCGTCCCTCCCCCTGCTGACTGCTAGCCTGTGGATACAGGACATCAGATCCTCTCAGGAACTACCTAGAAAGGAGTCTGACGATTACCCTGAAAAGAAGCAAAGGGGAAAAAAGTCTTTCAATCCAGAGTAGTGTTTCTCACGGCCAATTCACATGTTAGAATCGTTTGAAGCTTCAAAGAAAGAGTGAAGGTCTGTGTCTCAGTCTTAGGGATTCTGAGCACTATCTGGTGGATCTGATGGCCTTATTATTTTTATTATCAGGGGGAGCAAGGGTTCAAAAGCAGTGTTGCCAGAAGAGGGGAGCAAAGACCCCCACAGAGAGAACTCAGATGAGGGTGGGGGACTCTGGTAACAGCAACATCTTCTCCGGAGTGGACATCAAGCACGTATTGAGCATGTTAGAGAACAAAGGGAAGAGAATCAAAACTACACAAGAAACATTAGCTATGAGCATTGGCAGAGGCAAGGTTCGTATGCTTTGTGTAAATCCGCACCAAGTCTGGGAGACCAGCAGGACTCATTTCACTGAAGACACGGAGAAACACAAGAAAGGGGAATTCCAGGCGGGATAACAGTCAGGAGTCTTTGACTTTTCAGAATGATTGCCAGGGAAACAAAGCTGTTCCCCACTCAAAAGAAAGAGCTGCTTCCCTTTTGGTACGGGAGAATTATCTGTATTCTGTCAATCATGTATTTTAATAAAACGCTGATTGGCCAGGCAGGAAGTATAGGCGGGTCAACTAGACAGGAAGTGGAGGTGGAGTAATGAGAATAGGATAAGGCTAGGGAGGAGAGAAGTTCCTCAGCCACTCCTGCACAGATCACTGAAGAAGCAACATGTAAGCTGCCCCCGCTGGAAAAGGTACTGAGCCATTATGGCTAACATAGATGAGAATAATGGGTTAATATAAGTTATAAGAGTTAACAAGAAGCCTGACCTAATGAGCCAATCAGTTTATAACCTTATGGAGTCTTGTGTGTGATTTTCTTTGTTGCTTGCCGGCTGTTGGGGTACTGGGTGGGACAGAAACCCCAACAAGCCGGCCTTCGTGTTACACCCTTTCCCAAAGTTTCCACAGCACCTGTGTCCTTGACAAGATACCAAACAGCATAGGCCTCCAGAGATTCTCCTTACTACATTTGTGAAAGTGCATGGCCCCCTGTAAAACGGTCAACAGCTGCTCACCTGGAACATTTCCAGTTAAACTAACATTTAACACCTCTAAGAGTAACACTCATGTGACGAAATGTATCCATTTTAGTTTTGTGCATTTAACTTATTTGACTATTATTTTCCTGTATCCCTATTCTTGTTTGTGTTGTTCTAAATGAGTGATTAAAGAAAATATAATTATAAAAAAAAAAAGAATGATTGTCACATAATCACCAAGACCTGGAACTGACACCCGGACCCTATTTGATGTTTTCTAGAGGCAGTGATGTGTGGATGACGCAGCCTGGTGCATCAGCTCTTCTTCCTGTCTACGCCATCACCATCCAGAGTACACGCCTATGATTGTACCTATGTGCAGGATGCTGCAGACTGAACTAACACGTTCTGTGTTTATACTGAGAAAAGCAAGGGGGAACTATGGATGTGGAGCTTCATTCTATCTATCTTTTATTTCACTCTGTCAAATAACCCTCAGGGGCAGCACCTTGGAAGGTCTTACTGAGTCTTGGTCTGGCCACGAATTTTCTAGACTGAACCTTGAAACCATCAACCCCTGATTTTTCTTATTTTAAAACGTTTTGGAAGTTTTACTTTCGCAGAATTTCAGTGGCCAGATTGAAAGACTGCCTTTATCTGGAATGGCTGGAAAAACTCATCCTGAGCCAAGAGACAATATCTTTGTCGATGACTCCTAAAAGGAGGCTTGGGCCTTTTCAGGAGACACAAGTCTTTTGTTCCAGCGTTTCCCTGTCACAAAGGTTTGAAAAGAGGATAAGATTCTTAGTCCAGTCATTTTATTTTTAAATGTTTTGGGTTCAGAGAAGGAGAGAGATCAAACTGGCACTTTGCAAAGAAAAAAAAAAAAAAGAACGTTTGGTCCCAAAAGAGAGTCGAGTAAGAAAAGACAATGGCTGTCTTCTATAAAACCTGGGGTCATTTCTCAGATGCCCTTCCCTGCTCCTGCCCCACCTTCAAAGGAGAGAGAGAAAACAGAAAGTTGCAGGAATTATGTAGCCTAATGTGCTGGCCGCCTCCCTCTATCCTTGGATGACAGCTTTTATATGGCTTCCTGTCTGTAATG